GCGTACGTAAGTGATCAGATAAAATCTGCGATGTTTCCTTAGAATTATCGTGAATTCTTAATTCTTCATTGTGCTGATATAACGCTGACATAGACCAGTATTACTTATTCTGCATCGGGCTTTGTACCGACTTCAAGCAGACTAGAAGGGACTATTGCTATTAAAATGTTGCCTATTATATTAAGGGTCACACTTATTTTAGTTTTTTACTTAGATTTGTAAATATTTATTTAATTTTTAGTGTTAAGTTATGTTTGTAATGAGTAGATAAGTACGAAATTTAAAACACTACGTACTGTTAATGTATATTACCAAACTGTAGTATGTTAGATTATATTAAATATAGTTTAAGATGTTACATTTAAACCCGAAAATGTATTGTTTTTCACATTTCTTAATTTTCCACCAGTAGGAGTGACATTTTTCTTCATATTTGAATGTTAAGAATACAAAGTGTTACCACCCCTATTCATCCCGTGGGTGTCGTAAGAGACGACTAAGGGAGCTAACGCACGACAACCAGCACTGCAAAGAGAAGGAAAACTTGACACAACCCAAAACCTCCTTTCTAAGGAGAGGCTTATGTCCAGCAGTGGACTATTAAAGGCTGTTGATGTGATATGATTTGAATGATAATGAAACCAAAGGGTAAATATACCCACAAAAAATTCAAATCGGTTCACAAATGAAAGAGTTATGAGGTAACAACCATGAAAGTTATTTTTTTTTGTCTAAATGTTTTGTAATCTCATTTATTACTCTCATGTACACATATCTCTCTAATCCAAAACAAACATCTAACAAATATCTTGAAAAAAAAAAATGAGATCAATACATAATTAGATTTTTAAAAGAATTTTCAGCTCAGTGACATGACATATTGACTACTACAAATGGGGCTAATCCCACCCAGACGCCCACCACTGTAACTCCTGTACACCAGGATCCACAGCAGTGACCCACGAACACACCGAGTTGTGCCTGGTAGTTTTATTTCCATTAAACAAATATTCAAAATTATTTCTGTCTCCACATGATTTTTAGAAGAAATACCTTGTATATAATATGTGAAAATTTGCGTTTTCATCGGCGCATAGCGACAGGGCGGTAGGTCGGAATCAAACATACTGAAATCACACAGTGTACCACCCTAAGTAGAAGGGATTCCGAAACACCTGTTATTAAGTCATCCGGACCTATCCTATGGTCTACCAGCAATAGTGCAGGCACTACCTTCGAGTAAATTCTCTATTTAGGCGACGCGACGTCCGACCAATCTTGTTACCCTGTTACAGTGTCTGCCTAGCTTGGTACCAGACAGCTCTGTGTGAGATATCTGAAGTTATTATTTAATAATATTTTTATGTTACGATACAGTAGGTACTACTTTAAAAAAAAGTGGTTTGGATAGTCATTTACGAGTTTAAAGTAGTTTTAGTATAAAAGTTTAAGTATTGTCTCGCACTTATAAGAGATGTAGCGGAGATGGTAGGTATTTAGAAATTTAAAAAAAGGTTTCGTAACTCATAAGGTTTCGTACCCTACCTGGTGATGGTTCTGGATATGTACGGTCCCTCGGTCTACTATTATTTCTTTTAAATTTAACAACAAGGACGAGATGCAGCATACTTGAAAGTTTATAGTTTATTTAAATAAAATGATATGATCAACCAAATAATCCCAACATATCTTTTGGGTGTCACCGTACACCATGGAAGGATTTATCTCGACTACAGTTTTATTGACAACGAACATGTACTACCGGAACCGATTGCGGTACACGGTGCCGTTCTCGAAGTTGTTCAAAATTATGTGTACCTCGAGCAAACATTGCAGTTAGGTAGAAACAACTTCGAGGACGAGGTGAACAGAAGAATTTGGTTGGGTTGGGCAGCGTTTGGGAAGCTACGTCGAGTCCTCTCATCGTCGATCCCACAGTGCCTTAAGACGAAAGTCTTTAATGAGTGCGTCCTACCCGTCATGACATACGGAACGGAAACGTGGACACTTACGGTACGGCTGGTCCACAAGTTCAAAGTCGCTCAACGTGCTATGGAAAGGGCTATGCTCGGCGTTTCTCTAAGGGATCGCATCAAAAATGAGATGATCCGGCAGAGAACCAAGGTCACCGACATAGCCTACCGGATCAGCAAGCTGAAGTGGCAGTGGGCTGGCCATATTAGCCGCAGAACCGACAACCGTTTGGGAAAACGAGTTCTTGAGTGGAGACCGCGTCTCGGTAAACGTAGTGTAGGACGCCCACAGGCCAGGTGGAGTGACGATTTGCGCAAGATGACTGGCAGGAGCTTGATGCGCGAAGCCCAAAATCGATCTAAGTGGCGTGCAATGGGAGAGGCCTATGTCTAGCAGTGGACTGCGACAGGCTGATGATGATGATGATGATGATGATGACAGTTTTATTATTTGATAGAGACGGGCCAACCACCATTTCCATTCACCTTAGTGGCAGCTGGTCTTTCACATAGTTCGTTCTCTAAGTCGAAGTTTAAGCTACAAAAGTGATAAAACCATAACCAGCGATCATTACACATACCTGCGCATGAGTAATTACTGCTTCATGTTCAAAAATAACTAATTTTCGCAACACTTATCTTTATAATCTAAGCTGACTTCAAAAACAATTAAAAACCAGAATAAAATCAAATAGCACGTCTGTTTTTGTTTCAAATTGAGACATACGCACTTAAAAAAAAACAGATATCTTATTTGTTTTTGAAAATTTATAACACGGACATCCGGGATTTATCCCGGAACTACCGATCTATTCCTGACAGAGGCGCATTAAACGCCCACAATTTGCCGACTGAAATGTTAGTTACACTTACGCAATTAGGGGTTAGCCGACTGCTGTAACTAACTAGGTATCTATTCTAGGAATTACCTAGTTGGGTAAATTGGAAGTATATTAAAGGAAAATTTAAACTGATTTCGATTATAAGGATGGATTTGTCTGTCTTTTATGGAAGTATGTCTATTTTTCTTTGTTTTACGGTTAATTTTTTTATTTGTACTGCACTAATACTAGTCTCTAAGAATATTGTTACTAACAAATTGGACACATGGTTGCAATAAAGAATTATTATTATTAGGGAATATCAGCAATACCGTAATCAGGTCAAGATTGCAACCTGTAAGTGGAGCTAGCTTAGACTTTTCAGAAACAACCCGAGCCTTCTAACTACAACTTCAAATTTAAGGTTTTATATTCTTAAGATAAATCTGACACCATGCAATTTAATTTAACAAGATCACTTCGATTAAGCTACACCTTCATATCAAAGTAACTGTTTTTTAATTCTAGAGTTATCGAGAAAGGTCGATAACTGTCTCTAGGGTAGGTAGGGTAGGTCGGTAGATAACGTAATTTTATGTGTTTCAAAATGAATTTATAGGACCGATCCGTTGTTATTGTCAGGTTGCCTTCTCCTAAGCAAGAATTCACTTCCATAGGACTGTTTTTTTTATGAAGACGATAAGATTTTTAATGAAATTATTCTTGATGGCTCCAAAATTGCAAAGATTTTATACGTTAATGTTGAAAGTTTTTAATGTTATATTATTTTATTTTTATTTTCTTTTATTATAGAGGGGACAGACGTGCAGACAGGTCACCTGATGGAAAGTGACTATCGCCACCCATGAACGTCTGCAACTCAGTAGTCAAAAAGGCTTAGCCGGCCTTTTAGGAAGGTACGCTCTTTTAATACCTAATGGGGTTCAAATCGAATTGGTTTGTACCAAGTACTTATAATGTGCGACCAAAACATCGACATGAAATAGCAGCATACGTATATTAACGATACTGTCTTTTGTTTACTACGAGTAAAAGTTATTTCTATTTATTTACTTTTGATAACTTTCGTTGGGATTCCAAGACACTATAACTGGGTATTCGTGGGTCACTACTGTAACTCTACAACAGTATCAACATGGTGTAAAGGAGTTACCGTAGTGTGCGTGTTGAAAGGATAATTCCGAAAAAAGTAAAAGTGAATTGGTCCATTATTTGAGTTAGGCAAGTGTTTGAACTTGCCAGTCTTTGGTGCATCGAGTGGTTTGTACGAAATAAGGTGAACAGAACGGCGGAATAGACGGCAGAAAATTTCAATGATTTTCAACTCAGAATCATGGTCTGAATAGACTATTTCAATATTCGGAACGATGTCCCTTACACCTTGTACATGTTTAGTTAGCATCTGACTGTAAATTAATTGTTTGAACAAAGCATTTAAACTACTTGTACGTAAAAGGAATATTAAAACCGTTTTCTCGAATTAAAAATAATAATTACATAACAATCTAAAACAAAAGAAATGGGTTGATAATAGGGATTAGTATAAAATAAAGGTTTTTTGGTTGTGGATTTATACCTCGATTGAGACATTAGATACGACATGGAGTCTTCCGATTTATATGTATACGAAAATTATATTATATAAATTGCTTGTTTATGTTAAGTAACGTAGACAAGGCGGGACTCATACTTAGAATAACGTGTGTTGCTTTACTTGCGACCCATGTCATTTAAGAGCCCATATATCAATTTTGCACTGCATATCTTGTAGTTTCTCATTTCGCAAGTGGTTCTGCAAACTCTAGACCATTTTGAAGCACCTAGCACCAACATCCTCATAAATAGACTTTAATACTTGCTTGATATAGGCCTCTCCTTAGAAAGGAGGTTTGGGCCTACTATACCCCGGTGCTCTATATAAAGCGATTGTTACAATTTCATCAAACAAAATGGAGAATTGCAGCAGGATAATATTCACTCAACAATCCTACATTTTTTGTGAATGATTCACTCAAACTATAGTATGTGGGAATCACTAATTTGCACTTAAGTGTTGTCCTTAAACCGGTCGTACGCAGCAATGACGGCAGTTGAAGGCTTCTTAATTAATCTTTACGTTTAGTCGATATATAGCAGATACTCGACGGCGCCAATCCAGTTGCATAGATACCTTTTATTGTTAAACATGCACAAACAAGTTACAATTAGTAGTGTTTTGTTTTGTTTCGTAATAGTCTTCTGCCATAATGGACAAGCCAAACTGGCACGTAAGTTTTAGATTTTTGATGATTTATTAGAATGCCATTGTCATTTCTTCAAAAATATATGTATTCATGTAAATTGTAACCTCTAAAGAATACTAGCAAACAACGATATTTTGCAATCCACAAGTTTCATATTAAAATGTTAAAATTAATCATAATTTTAACATTTTAATAAGTAATTTTTATAAATAAGTTAATAGTAAATAAGTTAATAAATAAGTAATTTAAGATTTTATTAAGTAATCATACTTACTGACGTTTTTAATCAAAATCATAATTAAGTAACTTACACTTTTTACTTTTACAACTTTCTCACTAAAAAACACAATATTGAAGAAGATGAAATTTATTTCCTAAGATGCCTTTCATAAAATTTTACAAGAATTTAAATATTTTTAAAATAAAAATATTTTAGGAACATTATAATTTGTAAAAGTAAAATGTCTAAAAATAACATATTTTAATTTACATCATGTTTAACCTTGGTAAACATATTGCATGTAATCTTGTATAGATATATTTTAAGTAACCTTGAATACCATAATACAAGAAAAAATAAGATAAGGTTAAACATAATCTACATAATTATAGCCAAATGTTATTCATTAGTAAGCATCTCGTATTACATTATCAAATAACATTAAATAAAATGGTGTGATGCAGAACAGATAAAAACTATTTTTTACGTATCTCTGATTACTTACACAAAACAACACTACTCGGGGAAAAAATATTACTCAATTTTCTTTTAAACTACAATCCAAAATTTGTTAACTCTAGAAAATTGACACCTTTATGATAAACATAGTTTTCCAAATAATACTATTTTTTTTTATATTGCCAACTTGAATAGTACTGCTTCCATCATAACTCTTAATAATCCCAGAATGCCTGTAGTTTTTACACAAAAAATAAATCAAAATATATTTTTCCCTAAAATTTTAAAAGATTTTTACTTTCACTCCACTTTCAGTGATTGTGGGTAAAAAAAAGTATAGATACTATTATGGAAAGTTAACAACTAGCCAAGATTCAAAAATTGTATTATACTCTAGGAAAAAAAAGTATGCAATCGAGTTTCAAACAATAACCAAATTTTATGGGCATTCTGGGATTTTAAGAATTGTGATGGATACTATTCAGGTTGCCGATAAAAAAAAATAGTATTATTTAAAAAACTGTGTTCATGCTAGTTAAAACTGTTATGAGGGGTTATTGCAATTTTTTTTAGATTGAGATTTTTTTTGTCTATTTTTCCTCGAATAGCTCGACTAGGTCCACCATCTGGTGACAGCTTATCGTTGAATTTTGTGACAACTATGTATATATAATTATGTATATATATATTTATATATGTTTTTATTTATTTTTCTTTGTTGCTCATTCTATTACTTACTACTCCAGTAATCCACTAGTAATGCATAGTAGTATTTTAATGGGATTTTCTGTAATGTAGTAACATGAGTATTTTATTTTCTAATATAGCTAATGTTATCCTCTTTTAAAATATAATTTTTGTACATGTTTTTAACAAATTGTTTCTAATATGCGACATAAACATCAATACTAGATTTTGCATCGGTAATTATTTTTCATAAAAGTTTTGTTCCTATAATAGCTATCCTATAGATAGAGAGATAGATATACTCCTTAAGTCATAAAACTACAGGTATAACTTAATTTTATATTTCTACTTACTACCTATGTGATGTACAAAGGGCGACGTTATCAACTCTTCCAAGCCAATTTTGGATTGTTAGAGAGATATAGGTTATTACAAAGCCTGCAGTGTACACGAAAATGGATGCTTTGCATTAATATTAGTTATTTGCAAATTAATATGATTATAGTTACACATACACATCCCAATGTACATATATATATATATACATGTATGTTAACACACTGAATTTATAATGAATGTATATTTGGTCTTGTACTCCTAGTCAGGATCGTGTAGTAGTAGTCACGTAGTTACGTGTTTGTTAAATTTCATGGTGGTTGATTGAGTATTTAAGTCGTGAGAGACGAAACACGATGAGCAAAATAATAGTTTATAAGACCAAGATTCCCTCTAAGTTTATATTCTTTTATTCACAAACAGATTATAATTATATGTTATTAAACTTTTTTTTTATTACAAACGGATTGCATAATGTGTTTTAAAGGTTACATGAATACACCAATTTGTACATAGTACATTCATTATACGTTGTATCAGGTAAACCTCCATTCGGTAAAAAATAATGTAACTTACCTTGTCACATTTTTAATTCTACTTAAGACGTTCACTTTGCTCGAATAGCAACCTTAAAAGTTAGGGTATATAGCGAAAAAAATGTACCAGTTAATATAGAAGATGGCATGTCAAGTAATGATTTTGACTGCACAGGAAATTTTCTTTCCATCCTGCTCGCTGGCTACATCAACCTTAACATTACTCAAATATGCATGCATATTTGCAATTACATTCATATGTCGTCGCTATCGTCATAATATAGTAAAAATTAAAAGTGTATTAAGTAGTTTCTTAGTTTCACGAAACTAAAAACGTTTGATTTTAAAATGTTTACATTAAACGGCCCTACACTACGGTCTCAAGTAATAGAGTTCTTAAAAGTAATTAAGAATTCCATGTTCAAAAGTTATTGAGATACTAAATCAGTGGAGAGACCTATTTGTACTAATTGTTTCTTTGTCTTTACGTGCTAGTCTCTCTAACAATAGATATTATTCTATTTAATTTTCTTAATTATTTAACATCATGCTCCGATCCTTAGAAGCGGAGAAGTGACTATAAATGCTGCTGAGACCGCTTAACATATTTCAGTTTCTTACACGTGATCTTGATGTTAATGCATTCATAATAATTAAAATTTACCAAAATATAAGTTTTACTTATACATAAAGATAAATCTTAAAACAATTATTTACAATGAAATCCTAAATTTAACATCACGAACCGTAGAAAAAAAACAATTAATGGTACATTTTGTTAAACAGCTGCCGTCTCGAATAAGAAATAACAAATTACTCAAATTATGAATAAAATGAAAAAAAGTGACACATAAATTTTGAATGTAACAACATACTGGGTCTACCAATAGGGATGACCTGGTTTTGACAGCTCATAGCGGCCATGTTTGATGATGGATCTTTGACGTCTCTTGACATTTGTGTTCAGTGAGGTATGCCATTTTATCATGTGACGTTTCACTTTAAACCAACGCTTGGAAATTGTCCAAACTTCTTTGAAAGTGACGAAGGAAACCCTGTTACTGTGAATGGCGAGCGCTATAACTCGATGTTAACCGAATATTTCTTTCCGGAATTTGATGATATTGATGACCTTTATTTTCAACAAGACGGTGCACCACCTCACATTACTCGAGTGAACATGGAATTAACATGGAACATGGAAAGTTTGGTGAGTCGTTGATTTCGAGAAATGAACCGATCAGTTGGCCACCAAGATCGTGAGATTTAACACCTTTAGACTATTTTCTTTGGGGTTACGTTAAATCTAAAGTGTACAGCAATCGTGTGAGCGGGTGACCGTCTGCAAAAAGAGCCGCGGTGGTCATTTGGCCGATATATTATTTAAAACATAAATTGCATAAAATTACCTATCAAATAAATCAATCAAATGCATTTTCAAACAAAATGTGTGTTTTATTCAATTTTTAAACCAGGACGTTCTTATTGGTAGACCCCATACAAGACAGAACAAAGAATTTGGTCAAGGATTCGAAATAAACAATTACAAACCAAATTAATAATTACTTGTCTGTTTTTTTTTATATTACGATACATACTCGTATTGTAGGTCACACAAAGATAAGGTTTTATTGCTTCTGATCGACAGTTCAGAACAGCAAGCGATTTCTTTGGTTCGTTTGAAGATTGTCTTACAGCAGAAAAAATAACGTCTAACATTTGCACAAAAAATGTAGATATCAGAAATTACTACCGGAAGTATTTCCTGCAAAACAGTAAGATTTATGGCGCATAACACCATCGCAGACGCATATATAATTACCGGCTGGTTGCCAACGGTAATCATTTGTTTAGGCACATCCGATTAGCCATCTGTAACTCACTCTTAAGGCTAAAGTTAATGTGGAAGTGCCCTCATTACTTCCTTAATCGATTATGGTGATGTGTGTTATCTTGACCTAGACCGACTTCTCAGTAATTGTTTTTAATCTTCTCAAGTATGACCATGTATCTGCTTTACGCTCCCAACTGAAATGGCTCCCGATACGTCAACGCCGCAGTCTGCGCGCACTAACAATTTTTTTTTCATTTATAAATTCCCCATCGGTATCTGAGTACTTGGTTCCACATCTCCGCCTCCTTAGCTCCAATCACGACCGAAATCTTCGGTCAACCAATAACACACACTTCCAACTTCATCAATTCTTCCTTCTATGTACAGTCAGTCTTCTCTAGAATGCGCTCCCAGTTGAAATCAGGATGTCCACTAACCGCTTTACGTTCAAGAAGAAAGTACAAGATCTTCTTCAAAATGAGTTGGTCACAACGCTTGTACCCGACTATGTATTTTGATATTTATGTATTTATAAATGTGTATGTTCATGTATTGTATGTGTATACTTGGGACCTCTATGTATATATGTAGTAATGAATATAGTATGGTATGTAGTGTATATTATGTAAGTTAGATTTATCATGAATTAATACATTTAATATAAATAAAGTCAAATTCTCTGTTTTCTCTTGCACCTACCGTATCATTTTTCTACATCACCCGAAGGTCGACTTTCAGAGAATGCCCTGGGCATTAAGTTCGCCTGTGTACAAGTTATGTATTAAGTTATATAAATAAATAAAATAAATAAAGCTACCAATTTAGTGTCAGTGTGGAGTAATTAATTATACTACTATTGTGATAAGACTATATACTACAGGACATCTTTATATGCAATGCGAGCCTATAACCGCTCTGCTTCTGCCGGCCGCTGCCACCCTTTTTTTTTTCCGTGCGGAAATCCCCTCGGTTACCACCTGTCGGTGGCATGTCGGACTCGAACCGACTAAAACCGCACGCCGTCTCGGGTACTAATAGCCGGGGAACCAGGTATACCCTAGAAAGGAAGTCCCTGGTGCCCCGACATACCTCGGGTCATCTACAGACGAGTAGACGACCGGGGGGGTCGTGTGGGAACCCCATGTTCCCTGTAAGGCCGCTGCCACCCGGGACGGACGCACGGCGGCCCGACGCGGCGGTTTGGACCCGCATTGAGATCTCTAATATATACTAAGATATTAAGTTTAATGATATGCTATAAAGGATAATCTTCATTAAATGCACGACGTATCTAATGTATTTAGGATAAGGAATAATATTGTATTGTTCAAAATAGCTGCGTAAATTACTCATTATTTTTTGTAATATGTAAAACATAAAAACTGTAACTGTAGGTTATCCTTAGGAAGTAGACATATACCAACCAACCAACCAACCTTTTTGTAGATCATGTTAAGAAATATAAGTACATAGTACATTACATTTGATCTATCTCGTAAGGTTTAGCCAGCATTTGCAATGTAAGCACACAAAAACATGTTTTTTACGACTTCACATCAAAAATCTTTGAAATTTCTTTGATTTTCTCTACTTAAATATGCATGTACTAAATATATTATATACCTGCTTCTTGAATAACTCTATCTATTGGTGAAAATGCATCAAAATCCGTTGCATAATTTCAAAGATCTAAGTGTACAAGAAAGAAAACGACTTCAATTTATACTATGTAAAGATAAAACAAGATATTTATTATTAATAGTGTGACAGTCGTTTTTGAACTGTAGATGGTACTCAATGTTATCCTTGAAACAATTTTCGAATTTGGTTTTTCAAAAAATACAACAAGTGTTACTAAATTTTCCTTTTTTTTATTTTATTTTTTTTTATGTTGGAGGGGGCAGACGAGCAGACGGGTCACCTAATGGAAAGTGACCATCGCCGCCTATGAACCTCTGCAACTTAGGAGTCATCGGTTTGAAGGTCGTATCGGTCCGGAAATATCGCAAACGGTAACCCGTTCCACAGATCATTATAAAATTCTGACGGTTAGAGTCCGTCCGTGTGGTGATGTGTGTGGTATAAGCCAAACCTCCTTTCTAATGAGAGGCCTATGTCCAGCAGTGGACTACTAAAGTATGTTGATGTGAAGTGTGATGAAGCGCAAATTAATAATACCAAATTATTGCTGTGTTTTTTTTAAATATTAATTTTCTTATTTATACAGCCGACTACATCCATCCCTGCAACGATACATCCAGAGCATGTTTGGTTAAGGCAACGCAAGATGCTATCCCTGAATTTGTCAAAGGTATTCCAGAATTCGATATGCCTTCTTTGGATCCTTTCTTCATAGACAAGTTGTCCATTCCCTTAACTGGAATATCATTTACATTCTACAACGGTAAAGTGACGGGCTTCAGAAAATGCATCGTGGATGACATTGAGTAAGTATATTATTTTAATTATAACCTTAATTATATCTTCGCTTAGAAATATTATCTCAGTCATTATTATAGATGCAACAAGGCAGATAAGTGTTAATGGACTTGCCGCACGGAATGCGATTAAGTGTCAGTAAAATAACGTATGAGTTCATGTTGATATTAGCGTTGTAATGGATACCTGTACTTGTCTTTGTATCCACGGATATTCAAAATAATCTTTTGGCAGATCATTCTCAAGTTTCTTTTATGTTTTTATATTTTATTACGGTTATAAAATTGGATATATAAATATTTTACTTTTTGACTATTTCTACAAAGAGATCAAACCGTTGTTAAACCGCTTACGATGAAACATATCATATTATTTAATCCTCAACGTCAACTGCCAGTTTAAGGACACTCGTATTGTCACTAAGAAAAAACTTGAAATCGGTGACCGTATTTAGGGATCTCGACGCTAGTCCATATTCGCGGATTTACTTTTTTTAACATCACTAGTTGATAACATATGTTTAACATATTTAAAAAAAACACTCTGAAAGTATTTTGCACTATGATTGATTACTGTTAAGTTTTTTCTGAATAATTTAAATACTTTAATTGCTTTAGTAATCGTTTATTTTATTGGACCCCTATTATTTATTAGATTACCTCAACTGATGTCTGCGTCACAATAAATTGTGATCAAATATGTGTATTGTCGAAGTGTATTAACAACACTATAAAGTGTTGTTAGTAATAAACATGTTGTTAGTTACGTGATCAGTAATAAACATATTATGTTTATTACTGATCACATACCTTGGCCTTATGGCCTGTTTTTTTTTTTTATGACGGGGTGGAAAATCCCTTCGGATCGCCGGCTCCTTGGGGATGTAGGAGCCAGGAGTGTGTGGTGTTTCCACTAAAAACCACCCCGACGGTTCGAACGCAGCGCCTAGTGAAGCCCTGACCCGGGGAAGCTTTCCCCGCCTATGGGCCCAATCCTTATTATGTTTCGGCCCGATCGCATTTTTGCGAATAGGCCGATATCCTATCGCCTACCGCAGCTGTTAATCTGTGACCAGAGATCTCCTCCCTCTGGCAGCTTCACAGGCAGAGACCACTGCACCCCAGTCCTCCTCACCCGCCAGAATGGCAGCAATAATTGCTCTCGAGGATAGGTCTCCTCCGGTTTGGTCGACCAGGACTTCGCGTTCAGATGCCACTGCGGGGCAGTCTTCCAGCGTGTGCTTTGCGGAGTTCCAGTGGTTTGCGCAGTGCTGGCATTGTGCCGTCTCCTCGTGGCCTATAATGTGGAAAGCAGTTGAGGATATCTTATCAATAAAATAATACAATATTAATATATTTCATATAATATACCGACAACCGTTGGGGAAAACGAGTTCTTGAGTGGAGACCGCGTCTCGGCAAACGTAGTGTAGGACGCCCACAGGCCAGGTGGAGTAACGATTTGCGCAAGATGGCTGGCAGGAGCTGGATGCGAGAAGCCCAAAATCGATCTCAATGGCGTGCAATGGGAGAGACCTATGTCCGGCAGTGGACTGCGATTGGCTGATGATGATATAATATATAAGATAATTTCATAATTGATTGGAAACTATACAGTAATTTAAAATTAATTAACAACGAACATAATTAACTTTCCATAAGATTTATTACAATATTTATTGCTCCTGGCGTTGACACTACTTAATTATTGATCTAACGACCACAAAATAAAAAATACATTAAGCTTGGATATCTTAACTAAGGATTATTAATGATGTTTTATATATTTGAGAAAAGTAAAATGTTCTTCGGTAATAATAATTATAATTGAACTAGTTCATTTAAGTAATTGAATTAGGTTAGGTGGATAAGCCTAGATAAAAATGAAATACGATATTTATTAATTTCTCATTTTTAACTAAGTTCTTAAATATTAGCCTGCACCATAATACTCTAAGAATGCCCAGCATAGTTTAAGTTTAGTAAAAGTTCTGGTTTAACCAACTTAGATTTTATACGCCAGATAATGAAAATCTGCTGAGCGAGCGTCCGTCGATTGGCTAACATGTAATTAGTGGTTTTCATTACTCAACCGCTTTGATCATTATAAAATTCTGACATTTAGAATCCGTCCGTGTGGTGAGGGATTAAGAACACGGAGTGTCACCACCCCTATTCACCCGGTGTCGTAAGAGCCGATTTAGGGAGCTAACTATGCAGGAACAGCACTGCAAAGAGAAGGAAAACTTGAAACAAATCCTATACCAACTCGTCTGGCCAGGGTGGCAGAGTAGGCCAAATCCTCATTTCTAAGGAGAGGCCTATATCCAGCAGTGGATTTTTATAGGCTGTTGATAATAATGTAAATTTTTTTTTACACTATTTTTCTAGATTATTAGGATAGTTAACCATTAGAAACAATTAACATATAATATAATAATAATTATCAATATAATATAATTATTATTATATTATATTGAGGTCTCGAAATTAATAATTAAAATTATCGTATTTCATTTTTATCTAGGCTTATCCACCTAACCTAATTCAATTAATTAAATGAACTACTTCAATAATAATTATTATATGTTTTCTTCGACCAAGCATAACAAACAAATCACATTTATAATAATACCTATGTCTACTGTCCTATCATCCTACCATGTTCAGAGTTGTCTTCATTGTTCTAGCAGTGAAAACTTTTAATTGGCCTTCACCTATTAGTCTTATATCAATTGTAATTCTAGCTGTAAGTTTTCCTAAAATTATAAAAATAAAATAAAATAACATTGTAGTCTGGAATTATTATAACAGATTTAAATATAATGTTTTTAATAAAAAACATGCTGTTACCCTGCAAACCCCTGTAAACCTGCCTACATATAACACTTATATATCTTGAACTTGAACTTTACTTAAACACATGTTTTACCAGCAAAGCATTTGTAGGCCTCTGTAAAAATGACCCATAAGTGAGCCTCCTTGCATGGTTAGCTCACGTTATATTTGACTTAACATATTTTCCTTATTATCTCTATCTCTCTTAATATATTTTCATTCACACCAGTTCTAGGCGGAGGTAAAAAATTTAAGATTGAATCATAGTGTGTAGAGGATGGGATGGATAAGAAAAACTCAGTAATAATAATAATTTCTCACACTTATTTTCTTAATGCACTGACTCACGTTCAGTTCATCCTGGTCAGGGATATGATAATAACAATAGTAATTTATTTTAGTCTTCACGGTTTCTGTCTGTCTGGATTCTAGACGGATGCCGATAAACCTTGACACGCTTATATGTAATTGCGTCTTTGATGAACACACGTGTATTTACATAAATATAAAAAAATAAAAAATATACGATGTTTACTGCAGGCGGTTTGAAATTATTATATCAAATACCGATACATAATATTATTTCAAAACCGGTATGCGTACACGTTCCAATGCCAAGACTTTGTTTCATGTATTAATTTACACGCAACTCCACAAGAGTTGTTTTTTAACTTAAGTTAAAAATGTAATATTTTATGTTTGTTTTAATTATCTCATTGTGAATCTTACCTGGTTAGTGGACCTCAATGTTAGAGAGACATCAAATCTGTGCCTCCATAAACTCATTTTAATATTCTCATTCAAAGAAGGCGAGGTGATCATGTCTGGCGGGGCGCTTCCCAACGGTTGATATTGGGAAGTTGTAAATATGCAAATCATTTTACGAGTTCTTCTTCTTTTTCTTTAAGTTCCTCTCTAACTAGCGAAGGTTTTCAGTCAGCTTTGCGTTCTCCTTTTTATTTTGCGAGTCGAAAAAGATCGGCAGCACTTTTTTACGACTTACACTTTACGAATTATTCATATCGCGATAAAGGATTAGCAGTTACTCTGTCGTTCGATGTGTCTTCATTAGATGGCAATGTAGTTTGTTTCCGTGAGTCATTATGTGTGGAATTCGGTACAGGTGCATGAGCAAAGCGCTCTTTCATATATCTGTTTTAGTTACTAATTACATATTAATTATAATTTATTAGTGAAACCGATATATATATTTTCAGAATCAGACTAGATTTTAATTTCAATTGTACAAGTATTAAATGTTATATTTTCAAATCATCATCAATTTGTAATTTACAATATGGGCATGTCATAATAATATTCTATGACGATTTTTGGCTAGTCAACTTGGAATACATTAAGGTAAAAGCGTTCACGAAAAAAGGTACAACGATAGCTAAATAAGTCAAGTTAAAGAAACGTATCAAAAATGGACTCGATTTTATTACAAAAATCAAAAACCAATAGCGCTCTCTATAAATGGATAAAATAAAATATCTACACGTAAGCGAGTTTAAAAAAGCATCTCAAGAACGTTTTATTATCATTATTTAATGGTTTTCTCATGCCAGAGTACTACTGCCTGAAATCCAACTAATTACTTCATTTTGGAAAAAATCTTAATTGTTACTTAAATAAAGTGCCTGTAGTGTCTAATAGTTGGCGTTTAGCCAACAAAACGATTTACTAAAATAGTCAAATACGTCTTAACACAATGTCTGTTTGATATTGTCGCTAAATCGCCAATTTTTACATAATAATATAATTAATATTTAGATAGTAGAGGTAGAATTTAGATAATAGAGGGGGTAACACAGCACATGTGCTTTTTTTTAAATAAACTTTATTCACATTCAAGTTGCATTTTTTGTGTGTCTATTCGCCAAACTGTTCTAACAGTTTGTAGGCGTTCCGCTCAAGCTATAATAAACTTGGTACTTAAATGCTACTTTTTAAATTACTACTACAACGTTATAACTGAAAAAAAATATATATTCCAAGATATAAAAATATATAAATATGTATAACCTCACTATTTTGGGGTACTTGCTTCCTTATTTATGTACACGTTTGAATCTATTACCATATTCAAACATTTATTTTAGTCTTGGTTTTAATTTAAATGTACATTTCATTTTATTATCATCTCTAAGTATTTGATATTTATTACATAACTTTGGTACTACGTACTTTCTAGTCCTTGCCCTATAATAAATATTTACGATTAACTGCTCTAATTTTCTCTTCTTTATTAATCTAACACTATAATTACATATTTTCTTTATCTTAAATTCTTCACTATGAAATGATTCTAATGCTATTAAATATCTAACTTTTTCATTTACTGGCATGACGGCACATTCGGAAAATAACTTATTACAGTCATCGTTATGCTTATTTTTAATTATTTTATCTAAAATTATTTGTTAAATCTTAACTGTATGTTTTTAATTTCCTCTAAATATGGTTTAAACGTTAGTCCGTAACAACTTAGCCCGTAACTAATAACTAAATCCACTAGTGCATAGTATACTCGTACCATGGACAAAGTACGTCTGCCTAATATTCTTTCACGCGTTGCCCCCATCTGTCACGCGACGGACCCGGCACCCGCACAGTGATCCATGGAACGCAATAGGAAAGAAATAGGTATTTAATATTTCAAGATCGACTTTAGGAAAAGTTAGCAAAAAATATTCATATTTTGTTTCACTGTCATATTTATTTAATCAATTTAATTTTTAAATTACAAAAAATTGAGAAACCTGACAAGTGAGAGTTCGATTTACACACCGAGGCAAGGGTTCCGTATTAACTTCTCTGTAAAAAGTATTTTATTAACGAGAATCGATTTTCAAAGTTTAGTCCCCTTTTTTTTTTGGAGACAAACTAAACTTTGCTGTTGTTGAAATACACTTACATGGACAACGAAGTTTCATTTTGTTTTTTGAAAACGGTCTTTAAACGAAAATAAACACTCAGATGTATAGATCTGTTTCATAAAAAATACAGTTTCATATTTATTGAATTCCTGAAATGAATATGAATTCCTAATTTAGCAAAATTTTGCAGCAGCCCTAATAGGATTGCATTTATAATATATTTGCTTTCAAGTTAATTCAAAAATCACCTTTTATTCTTTTGCTACATAAACGATTCAAAGCCCTTTTTTAAACCATTATATGGTTCTAAACTTTTAGTATCATATTTATATTTAATTGGAATGTAAAAATATATACCCTAATCTTTTTTGTTATTTTTGTAAACGGGTGAAAAATCCCTTCGCATATACGCCTCCTTGGGTACGCCAGGAGTTTGTGATGTTTCCACAAAAAACCACACCGATTTCAGGTCGGATTTTTCCACAAAAAACCACACCGATTTCAAATTTCCCTACACTGGGGACGACCCGGACCCGTATCATTTCAGGTCTGATTCCCTTTTCAGGTACTCACCGAAGCAGATATGATCAGTGAGTACCTGTGTCGGTCGGTACCTCCTTCCCTACCTACCCACGTTTCGAGGTTAGGCAAAATGGCACCGACATCGGGTTGGCGTCTCTTCCGCGGCTGTGCTACACACCAGTACCAGTCGGTGAGCGTTTCACCGCATTTCGAGTCCGTCCTGGAACTCCTCCCTCTCGTCCATACGGATCTCACATGTCTGGTCATAGATTCACGTCCATATCCACCAAAACATCAAAAGGCGGGAAACGTGCAAGGACTGCCGCCGCCACCGACGAGATGGTGCGGTATCCACGTACAATTAGGTCGATAGATAGGTGCACGACCTGTATCGGCGCTCCGTAGCGAGCCATGAATCGTATGACCGCACAGTAGAGGCGGTAAACTTCCTGCTGCGGACTCCCCTAAATTAGGCCTCACAGAGGCTGTAGGGAGCCCGCCAACCATTTACAAACTCACCTAGTATGTAATTATAATATAAAAAAATGCTGTTTAGTTTAGTATTGTTAGATGGTGTTATGTGAACTTTAAACATTAAAATGAATAAACAACTTTTTATAAAACGGAATAAGGAATAAAAAAAAAATACAAGATTGTTTAAGACAATGAGTAAAAAACAACAAAACTTTGTTGTTGTTCTTGGACCATAAGTATTTTGTATCTATGGAAATTTATGTTGTTTTTTTATTTTTAATGATAGAATTATGTACAATCTTTTGCAATTAAAATCTTATAATTAGAGTTATATTTCTATAACATCACATTAATTTAAATTAATTTATATTATCTTGTACATTGCAAAGAAATATCACCGTCGTATCACCTCAGTTTGAGAGTGCCCTAACTGCTTCAGCCAGCATCGGAATCCTAGGCATGGACACCTATCGAGTGAAGTCCAGTTTCGGGGTCACTTAGAGGGTAAGGTCAAATTGGCCTCGAAGAAGCTCCGTGTGCTGCACAGATCGGGCCGGTATTTCACTATGGCCCACCGCCTTCAGCTCTATAAGGCGCAAATACTCTTCTCATCTCTATGTAGGCGCACCTCAGTACCAGCTTCTCCCTCTGGACCGCATGAGAGAGATGATGAGAGACCGCACCAACAAAGAGTGACACGAATCGTCGATAGCCCAAACATCTCCGATAGGCTCTATCCCTTGGCGTGACATAGAGATGTGGCTTCACTCTGCATTCTCTATCGTATATCTCATGGAGAGTGCTCCAAAGAAATTATTCAGACTAATACCAGCCGCAACTTTCTGCCATCGTTGAACACGGAAAAATTTTCATCCTCATCACCTGGATAATTGTCACTCCACTATTGTGCGCTTTTCGAGACACTTTTTGCCCCGCACATCCAATCTGTGGAACGGGTTATCGTCTGCGATATTTCCGTACCGATACGACCTTCAAACCTTTAAGAAAAGAGTGTACTCCTTCCTAGAAGGCCGGCAACGCGTTTGTGGCTCCTGAGTTGTTGACGTTCATGGGCGGCGATGGTTACTTTCCATCAGGTTAACCGTCTGCTCGTCTCGGGGGCAGACGGTTCATATAATCATCATCAAGATAAAAAAAGTTTTTATAAAATAAAGATAATTTGAGTTGGAATCAGAACTTAAATTGCACTTGTTGTTACAAGACAACTAACAGCAGTGAATCCTAATTACTCTACGGTGTATTAACTATTAATTAAAAAAACAGCATTTTACATATATTTTTAATAATACGAGTAAGTAAAGATGACTCTGCAAATAAACTTCAAATATTAGGATGATAAATATCAGGCCTATGTCCAGCCTCGGGGGTTGTGCGGTCCATGGCCCTTTACGGGTGCCCAGTATGGGCGGGAGCCCTGAAGGCCAGCTACGTCGCGATACTGCGACGACCGCAGTGAATGCTTTCCATCAGGATCATAAGGGGGTACCGCACGATCTCCTTTGAGGCGGCGAGTCTCCTGGCCGGAACTCCACCGTGGGACCTGGAGGCGAGAGCCCTTGCGGCTCTGTATCTGTGGCGCAAGGAGGCGCAGGAGTTGGGTCGATGCCCCGAGATTCGAGAAATCGATGACCGGAAATCCCAACTCCGCCAGGTCATCATAGGGGAGTGGAGGGAACGACTCGGGCAACCGAGCGCCGGGCACGCCGTCATTGCGGCGGTAAGACCCGTTATGGAGGATTGGCTCGAGAGGCGTCACGGGACCCTCTCATACCGATTGACGCAGGTGATCATTGGGAAGGGATGTTTCGGAGATCACCTGTGTCTGATCCGCAAGGAGCCAACGCCTGAGTGCCACCACTGCGATGGCCAGACCGTGGACACGGCTCTCCACACGCTGGCAGAGTGCCCGGCGTGGGTTGAGCAGAGGCGAGACCTCGTGGCGGCCATCGGAGTGGGAGTTCTCTCGCTCGATAGCCTGATTGCGGCTATCGTGCGGAGCGAGAGTGCGTGGAACTCTGCCGTCTCCTTCTGCGAGCAAGTTATGCTCGCGAAGGAGACGGCGGAGTGGGACCGGGAGAGGTTTAGAACTCTCCCGGCCCGCCAGGCCCGGGCACGGGCCAGGCACCGCAGGCGACTCAGGCGCCGGAGGTCGCAGAACGACCTCCGTCCTCCATAAGCGCAGGCCTGGGGGTGACAGGTGAGGCCATCTGTCACCCTAGCAGAAGCAGGCCGGGGTGGCGCGCTCGCTTCCAGGGAGCACAGGGAACATGGGGTTCCCACACGGGGGGTGTCGTCTACTCGTCTGTAGATGACCCGAGGTATGTCGGGGCACCAGGGACTTCCTTTCTAGGGTATACCTGGTTCCCCGGCTATTAGTACCCGGCGACGGCGTGCGGTTTTAGTCGGTTCGAGTCCGACATGCCACCGGTGGTATCCGGGGGGATTTCCGCACGGAAAAAAAAAAAAAAAAAAAAGGCCTATGTCAAGCAGTGGACTATTAAAGGCTGTTGATGACGATGATAATAAGGATAAAACTGTATTTATGTGATTTATGCATTACAGAGATCAAAGTAATAAGGTTCTCTATTTTATTTTTGTATTTGTTGTACGTGACAAATTTTATTACATCGTGACCTTAAAATTAACTTTTTACAATTTACTTGAAATTGTAAAAGATAGGAAAGAAATTTCCACAAATTGTTTCACTTGTTTCCGCTAGAGAGTTGCCCCGGGGATGTTCACTATTAGTGATCTTGTAACATAGGTAGTTACAGTGATTATAACATTTAAACGATTTTTCTTTTTGTCGTAGGTCATACCTCGAAAAACGCAAGTTTATCTTTGCCTTCCACTGCAACCTGACAATTAAAGGTACCTACGACGCCAAAGGTAAAATTCTGCTATTTAACATCGATGGTGGAGGCGATGCAAAAATAAGACTAAGTAAGTATCGATAAATTGCAGTTGCATATTTTTTTCAAAAAATCAATAAAAAAATAACACTCCGTCATCAACAAATGAAAAAAATTTTGGTCTTTCAATCTGGTACTTATGACATCGCACCAGGAGTCGCCAGGACAGGCCAGGACTGACGCGGAACAACAAAACAACACTTAATTTTCTAAGTGTAGTTGAGCTCACTGCAGTTCCACAAATTGAATTATACGATTGAAACTTAACTGTTATTTCATTTTTCAAATGTTACTATTTATCCCAATAGTTTGCTGACTGTTCTTAATGATGACTATAATATACCTATAGTCCCATATGTATCATTATCATCATTAGCCTATCGCAGTCCACTGTTGGACCTAGGCCTCTTCCATTGCATATGAATGTCGTTTTATTTTATTTAAACTTGATTGACTTGATTGAGATTTGTCTTGCTATATTAACATAGGTATATTTTTTTTTATTTTTTTTATTTTTTTTTTTTTTTATTTCTCGTTAGGTACCTTTTTAAAGCATTTTAAATCATTACCAGTTACATTTAATTTGTTATTCCTTTATTTACTTATGTCGAAACTCTTGGTTTCAGCTAATCTTAGAATGAAGCTTGACTTCAACACAAAATACGTCAAAGACAAAAATAATATGAATCACTTTTCAATAAAAAATTATAAATATACTTTTGACTACGGAGACCGTGTCTACTTTGATCTTCAAAATATCTTCAAAGAGAGCAAGGCACTTAGTAAGTACGATAAGAGAAAAATACATATTAAAAATACTAATAATTACAATAATAATAATTAGTAGGAGCCATTTCTTCGTAACAGGATAAGGTCTACCCAAAATTACCCATATACATTTTTTTTAACATCTTTTAGAAAATAATTGAACTAATTATTAGATATACTATATATATATATAATATATATTTAGACGAAAAAAATAATCACGATATCTAGATAGAATAATTTAGAACCATCGAAGTAATTATAGTATTGAGGTAACAAAGAAAGCACATAGACAATTTAATATGCTTACTAATATTGCAATATTATTACTTTACAGGTAACACCGTTCTGACATTTTTAAATGAAAACTGGAAAACAGTTGCTGAAGAATTTGGGAAGCCAATTGTAGATTATTCTGTAGAACTAGCTTTATCAGCTATTAAAAAGTTCTTTAATGTAGTCCCCTATGAAGAACTGATCAATGTTCCCATACCACAATAAGAATATATAGACTACTTATGGGGATATTAAAGACGATTACAATACAATTTCTTTTAAGGTTTTCCTTTGTTTTATTGATTTAGTCTCACTTTCTACCAGTGTAATACCGAATTGCTTACATTTGTAATATATCAGTTTGAAACAGGAAACTAAATGGTAAGTCTTTGTCATAAGGGTCAATATATCAGTATCTGTATTTTTGTTTTGGTAATATCTGTTCATTTATCTTAGTTAGATGTGGGAGACAGCCACGCCCTTTTCGCGTTTTCTACATCCTGACAAGATCTTTTTCTATTACTTGAGGCGTTGGAATATTTTACATCACTTTTAGTGTTTGGTCAATTCACAGTAATCCGTTTTGAGTATATAATATACTACAACTATTACTAGATTAAAAAAAATAAAGGTAAAAATATGTCCTTTCCTAGTTCAAAGTCAAATTATATGTAAAAAAAATTTTAGATACTTAGATGGAACTTTTAGAAAATTATTTTCTACTGTTTAGTTACAAAAGCGTGTTTTTGGTTATTTTAAACTTAAATTTCTTTTGCTTTTTGGTCAATATTGATGATTATTTTCTTATCTATACAAATAAATAAAATTGGAGTGTCTGTTTGTAATATTAAAATAACCGCTTTTTACCAAATGCATATGTATGTTTACACGGTACATGTGCCAAAATAACATTTTTTACAATTTTTGTCTGACTGTCTGTCTGTTTGTTCCGGGTAATCTCTGGAACGGCTGGACCGATTTCGACGGGACTTTCACTGGCAGATAGCTGATGACATAAGGAGTAACTTAGGCTACTTATTTTAAACTAGCTTCGCCTCGCGGCGTTGCCCGCGGTTATAACAACAAACGCGGGTAACACCGCGGGTCTCAGCTAGTTAGGAATAAAAAAGTAACAAGTAAGTCACGTTTGCTTCAACACACGCCTCTTGGTTCGTAAAAAAAATTACTACCTTAATTTTAGGATGGAAAAAGCCGTTAATCTTAAATCTTGATCAGGATAATCGGCCAAATTTATCAAATTATTATATTGTACTTGATAAGGAACGAAGTCTCAAATTTAATTCGACGGTATAAGTGGGTTAAAATCACTTTCGAAGATTCCGTTTCAGATGCATAGATATATCATACATACTAGATAGATACATACCAAACTAATAAAAGCGTGTTAATAATAGATTATTAGACAAACGAATGAAATTTGAAATTGAATATTAACATATCGACGCGACGACGAAAACCTTTGAAATAATAAGTTCAGAAATATTCATAATATAATTATGAGTGAGTACTTACAAATTAATGGGCCTGTCCGTCTAGTGGTTAGTGACCCTGACTGCTAAGCCGAAGGTCTTGGGTTCGATCCCCCAGATAAAAAAATGTGTGATGAGCATTACCATTTGTTCTATGTCTGGCTGTAATTTATCTCTAATGTATATGTATTTAGAAATATTTCAGCACGTTTATCAGCAATCTGGTTGCCATAGCATCGACTTTGCCTAGTTTGGGAACAGACGACCGTGTGTGAGATGTATGAAATTATTATTAATATTATTATTGATGCACATCTAATGCTGCATCTATCCTGAATAAGCCTTGGGTTGAGTCGACAAACAGTAGTTTCAATTTCAGACACAAGTTTGTTTCGACTCTAGATGACGTTTTTATGCCAGACCCGATCGAAGGCCTTCGCTATGTCCAAACTAACCGCACAACCCTCTCCTTTGGTATCGATCGCCTGTGCCCACCAGCATGTTAGAAAGACGAGTAAATCACCAGCTGAGCGAGCCCGGCGAAAACCATATTGTCGATCATTGAGTAGCTGGTGATCATCTAAGTACCGGAGGAGCTGGCAGTTGATTATGGATTCCATAATCTTAGAGGACAAAGGAGTTATGGCTATAGGCCTGTAGTTGGAAGGGTCAGAACGGTCACCTTTTTTAGGGATCAGGTGCACAAACGCTACCTTCCAGTAGGTTGGGACAACGCCTTGGGAGTCGGAGATTCGAAGAAGGCGCGTTAAAACCGGTGACAACGGTCTTCAACACGAAAGGAGAGTCCATTGGGCAAACACGACTTATAAATGTCGAGGGAAAAGAGTGCTTTACGCACTGATTTTTGTGTGAACCAGATATACAGCATATAGCTCTGGTGCCCCAGTATGGTCGGCAGTACGTTTCCACCGTCATCTAAAGTAGAGTTGGATGCAAAGAGTTTTCATAGGAAATCGGCTTTCTTCTTGGCATCATAGACAAACGAATTATCTCACATCTGCAGAGGTGGAGAGGATTGGCTACAGAAATTCCCCTGGACAGCCTTGGCAAGAAACCAGAATCTAGAATCCACGTGTTCCACTTTTTCACCCTAGCAATGGCTCTTTTAAGGGACCTGGAGACAAAGTTATATTGTTTTTTTAGCGTGCTGGTATTTACATCGCCTTCCGTCGCTGCACTTGCCCATGCTTGGTAGCATTTCCGCTTTCGGCAGGACGCCGTTTTGCAGGATCTGTAGAACCAGGGCTTGGATTTGCCACCGATGGGAATTAATGTAGAAGGAACGAATAGTTCCATGCCCTGAAGTACTACATGAGTGGAAGAATCGGCAACGATGGTGGGATCATCCGGCAAGAAACAGACCTGCCTAGATGGGTAGGACGCAAAGAAGGAGCGCATCCCATCCCAGTCCGCTGACCTATGGCAACCTGCATGTGAGTGGCACTGTACTGCGGATTAGACTATGATCCGAGGGGCCTGAGGTGCCTGCTCAGGGCGCGGGCAGATATCCTGTCGAGCGCTGTTAGGGGATATAGGGGGGGTTGTTCTATTTTCGTTGTTCTATTCGAAAATCTTTTTATTTTATTAAATCGCGAGAACCGTTTCAGTTTTTTACTAATTTGGACGAAAAAACTAATCCGTATTCTTTGAGCAAAATTTAGAGGAACTAGGTTTATTTTGTATTGTTTTACGAATTAATATAAAACACAAATGTTAGTACTCATTAAAATTGTAACTTACTATTTTAGTAGATATGGAAAATCGCAAAGATAATAAATAAATAAAATAATACAAATAATAAAAGTAAAGGAAGATGTCAAACGAAGCAGTAGGTATCCATAATGTACTCACTTTTTACCCGACTATGCAAAGCCTAAAAAGATGTCTACCGATTCAAGAGCTTCGACATAGTAACACAAACACCTTCAAAATGACTTTATTAAAAATGAATGAGTTACTGAAAAACTCATTATACAGAGAGATACATTATAAGAGATTCCTTTGACGGGCCAATTGGTCTAGTGTTTAGTGAACCTGACTGCTAAGCCGAAGGTCTTGGGTTTGATACCCACCCAGGACAAATATTGTGTGATGAATACAAACATTTTTTCTGTGTCTGGGTTTATTTTTTCTATAATACATACGTATTTAGTAATATACGAGTATATGTACGTTTATCAGCAAATTGGTTACCATAGTACAGGCTCTGCCTAGTTTGGGATCAGACGGCCGTGTGTGAGATGTGTGTAATTATTATTGTTATATTTCCAAATAAATACCGTAATAATAATTGTTTCAGGAAACAAGAAGTTTCAATACAAGATAGACAGGAAAATGGTGGTTAGAGAACCTATTTACTTGATAGAGGCTATTAAAAAGAGAGAAGCATTATCACAAGGCTCTACCCCTTATGAACGAGTGTGTTGATCTACGAGATGATTAAACAAAAATAATTTGATGAAATAAAGATACTTGGCTAAATCGCTGTGTTTGTTTAAATCTGTATTTACCCTTTTTAAAATAAATAAATAAGAATAAAATAATCTCTATGAAACCCACATTTCCAATATCACACAGAATATTGAATTGACAATTTCTTAGATTTCTCCATAAAAACTAATAGTTTTAACATAATATTCACAAAGCATAGGACTACACATGGACCACATCCTTTGTCGCCGGCTAGTACGGGCCTAAGCACTACGCACTACGTCCTAGGCAATGCGGGCCCGCGAGCTTCGCGATGAGTTCAGTCAAGTCAAGTCAAGATCAGTCTTTGTAGATCAGACAATCTACAAAGACGAAGACGTGATTAATATCTACCTTATACGAAAGGCGAAAGTAGGTTGATCAGTGTCCAGGGTAGTATACTAATCGTGCGCGTTGCGTCTGTGTGCATGTAAAATTATGGACCCTGTCGGGCGTAGCATCGTCGCATATCGTTGTTCATTGCGTTTGTTTATAATACGGCTTCTGGCATCGGTCGCCAGTTAGTGATGTAAACGTACCATTCATTTGAATGAAAGTATAGTTTATATCAATGTTAGTATAAAGAGATATTGTTCAGATTTTCGAATGTAAATAAACTAAACTGCAAGGCGTACTGCGTACATAGTTAATTATATAAACAAGTATCTCTAGCAATAAAGAAACTAGAGATACTTTTTTATATAATTGACTATATTTTCAAACATAGTGTCAAGAATAAGGATATTATATAGGTAACGACTATTTCAATATCTTTAGAAATAGGAAACTCTGTTCATTACTTACTTCTTTAATAACCTATTTTTACGTTGATATATAATTAAATAATAATAATAAGTATTTTTTTATTTTCTCTCACACAGAATGACATATCTTGACATATTAAAGTAGATACACAGTTATAGGTAAAATTGTAATTATATATAAATATAATTACAATTTTTTTTTTTTGTTTCTGTGAGTTTCCGTGTCAAGGACCGCCATGGTCTCTCAAGTGTCATTGCTGTGGTTTGTTTTCATGTATTTACGGGTAGTTTTTATTTTTTAATTTTGATCATTTATAGTTTTTTTTTTATCAATCACTATTTACTTGTTGTTTTTTATTCATTAGATTTTTTTAAATTTTAATTATTTCATAAGTGAACGCTGTAACCTGAATCAATAAAGTATTTTGACTGTTAATTGATACCTTGAATTTAAATAATAGATACCATTCTTTTGTAAGTA